AGTCGATCGATCTAAAATTGCTTACTAATAAAGAAAGTCTAATTTATTAATAAGGGAAGTTTATTTGATTACGTAGTTAAGAAAGTATCATATACGTATCTTATGTACATATCTGATATTATATATCTTATGTACATATGTATCTGATATTATACGTATACGTATACGTATCTTATGCACATATCGATATCATCATATATCTTATGTACATATCTGATATTATATATCTTATGTACATATCTGATACGTACATATCGATATCATATATCTTATGTACATATCGATATCATATATCTTATGTAAATATCTGATATCTGTACATATCGATATCATATATCTTATGTAAATATCTGATACGTATCATATATCTTATGTATATATCTGATATCATCTATCTTATGTATGTATCATATACGTATTTTATGTACGTACGTATCATATATCTTATGTATCCTATGCAGTGTTGTCATTCTACTATATATGTCCAAGACTTTTTTAGATCATGTCCAATGTCCAAACGTCCACATGTCCAAGAATGCCCAAAGCATATTCGAGCTTCAACACCTATGCATGCATTATATAATATCTCAATATAAATATATTTTTTTTTATAGTACGTACTAAATAGAAAGTTAAAATAGGTACGTAATAAAATTTTAAGTTATTTATTTGTCCAGAAATGTCCAAAAGTGTCCAAACTTATGTCCACAACTGTCCCGTGACCCTATATATCTTATGTATCCTACGTACTTGTCTACCTACTCATATATCTATTCATGTACCACTTCATGTGCCTAGTCATATATTTACTCATGTATTCATTCATATATCTACTCATGTATTCATGTGCCCAGTCATATATCTATTCATGTATCCATTCATGTACCCATCATGTGCCCAGTCATCTACCTACTCGTGTATCCATTCATATACCTACTCGTGCATCCATTCATATACCTACTCGTGCATCCATTCATGTACCTACTCGTGCATCCATTCATGTACCTACTCGTGTATCCATTCATGTACCTACTCGTGTATCCACTCATATACCTACTCATGTATCCATTCATGTACGTACGTACGTACGTATCTACTCATCAGGGCTTAAACGACCATATTGAAATGCCGGCCATTCAAAAGTGTCATTCTTGATCTATATTATATTAGAAATTAATTGGCTGATATAGTAAACAATAAGATGTATAATACATTAATTTTAATGAATCAAGAAAAACACTTTAAACAATAAGCTGCAGGCCGGCAAATTACTATAGTAATTTAAGCCCTGCTACTCATGTATCCAGTTATGTACTTACGTACATATCAGTTATGTATGTGCCAAAATCCCTGGTTCTTAGCCTTAGTTCTTGAAACAAATAAATTCTTTTCTTACGTATTAGAATTCTTTTTCTTATTGGAATAAAGAATTATGATATTCGTCATAATAATTTTCCGTGTAAGGACAATGGTGGATCAGTTGATCAATTCCTTTTTTTTTTTATTTTAATGCGGAGAATGCATATTTTTTACAATACTACAATACAGTATGATACTTTAAAAATCAATACTTTATTTAAAATTGATATTATACTTTAAAATTATTATAAAAATTCCGGATTCTAATTTTATCAAAGTAAAAAAGCCTTCGTGATGATAAATCCATGCAGCGTAAAGTAACCCTGATTTAATAAAAAAAAAAAAAAACTTTGGAAATTATATATATTTTCATATACGGGTAGTATCTTTTCATAGTTAATATTAGTATTCCCTGTGGTATCCCTTGAATAGATTCCATCCCATAATTATAGAAGATGCAAAATTAAACATTCTGTACTTGGAAACTATATTGTGTGAAATAAAATTTATGTGTATATATATCTTATGTTTTGAGCTTCTGCATCAGTATTTCATGTTTTACTTTATTGTTATATTTATTTTATTATATGTTACAAAAAAGAGAAAATTTGACAACAAAAGATCTGAAATCAATAATTAGTCATGAAATACAGAATTTAAAGAGTTATACTGTAAGATTTTATTTATATAACTGAGTTTGTGCATTCTAGAGACTGGACTCGAATCAACTCGTAGCTTAAAAAACATAGTCTTAACTCGAATTAACTCGAGTCAAGACTATGTTATTTAAGCTACGAGTTGACTCGAGTCCAGTCTCTAGTGCATTAAATAAAAATTAATCTACCGGTAAATTTATTTATGCAAGGAAGTTTTTTAAAACAATTTGGCAGTTTTCTCTTTTTGTGGCCCCAGCATATATGTAAAAATTGTGAATTTTATATTGAATGCTACGAAAAGAAAACCGAATGTCTTCACTTTCGAAAAAATCGCTTTACAGAATACTAACTTATCTATGATAATATATAATTGAAATATTGTTCTCTTGTCTTTATTTTTTTTTTATATTATTACATTAGAATTTTACAAGCTATACTCCATGAAGTATTGAATCTGAAATTCGCTCTGCAGCAACTCCGTGAAGTGTTGAATCTGAAATTCGCTCTGCAGCAACTCCGTGAAGTGCTGAATCTGAAATTCGCTCTGCAGAACTCAAATATATACAATTATCGAGATTGAAATTTTGAATTTTGAAATTTTTCAGTTTGCGATTTTGAAATTTTCCAGTTTGGGATTTTGAATTTTCCACTTGGGATTTGGGTTGGTTAGTGCACAAAATTTCCGGGTGATGTAACCTCCTTTTTGCCAGCAATATTTTTTTAAAATTGGAGGTTCAGATATGACGACCAATGAAATTTGTCTAAGTAATGTAAATTTTCTAACTGATGAAAAGTCGAGCCGGAAATTGGTTTAATTAATAAAAAATAAGGTTTGTGCTATGGTGTGGGTAAATTTATAATTTGGCCGGCATGTATAGATATATTTTTTGATCCAATGATTGGAATTGGATAACTTTGAGTACCAAAATTATCTAAGATTCGTCGTAATATCTATATTAAGAATTGGAGTCAGTTTATAGTTAACTAATTAGTCGATTAAACCGATTCCAATCCTTAAACCTATATTATCATAATATCTCAATATTCCTTATTGCTATCTTAAGAACTAAGGATGGGAAAAGGCGTTTAAAGAGTCTTTTGGGTTTTTAAACATTAGCGCTGAGGCTAAAATTCGGTTAGGGCTAAAATTGATGCTTCTTATTAGTTAATTTAGGATCGATCACGTTCAGTAGCATTTTTAGCTGTTAGATCAAGAAAGCATTTAAAAAATAATACAGAGAAACGCATTCTTTCTGGACCAAACCCTGGTAATATACAATAAGAAAGATTGCGTTTAGGGAAATTAAGTATATACTTGTGCCAAAAGTTTAAAGTGCATTTGTAAAGATAGTGCATTTATGGAGGATGTATTTAGAAAGGTTTTTATCATTTTCATCTCTATTAAGAACCCTGTAATCTATAATTTTAATATATTAGATTCATCTTAATGAGATAAATTGAATGGCATCAAAATTATTCAATCCTGACACTAAATCATTGAATAATATCTATAATAGGGAATTTCAAAATTAGCAAAAAATTGCGCGTTTCATAGTATTGTTACTATGTTGACTTATGAATCGGAAAAATAAGATTGCTGATTTAGTTTTGAAACCTCCAATATATCATTGTGGCGAATTTAAAATTTTGATTATTAGTAAATCTATACTGATTTTTGAGAGTTAGGATGCGTCATTGTAATAAATTTCTATGTCTAATGAAATGCGTCAAAAGTGGAAAGATGGGTTAGACGTGTTATTAATCTAGTTCAGAGGACCAAAAAACTTTTCGGGATTTAGCATTTTTAATATGTAATTTCAAATAAAGGTATCTCAATATCTAGTAATCAAATTCGAATAATTTTTTGATACTATTCAATTCGTCTTATTGAGGCAAATTGAATAGCACCGAAATTACTTAATTCTAATTTATGTATAATAAATAATAAAAATTGGACCAATTTGTGTATATTGAATAATTTAGGAAAACAAGTGAAACAAAAAATACAAATAGAGGATCTTACTTATAACGAGTGTGGCTTTCAAAAAGAAAAAAAACCATACTGTTTGTTTCGTTAACATGAGACTGTCTAGTAAACATACTTTATGCTTCTTCATAATCACCTGATCTCCCTTACCCCTTATGATGCTTCAACGACCCTAGCGCTGTGTCTGAAATTCAATTTTTAATTTAGTTGCGGGCGCAACTAAATAAAAACCTTTACTTGCGGATTATATGGATTTAGTTGCGCATATGAATGTATTTATATGCAAATTCGAACATCTCTACATGCAAATTCATAATTTATTTGCGGAACCAGCATATACATTTCAGATTTTAGTTGCGGAAACTTATAAATCATTTGCGGTCCGCAAGCTCCGCAACCCAATTTCGGACACTGTCCTAGCGTCGCCCACAAAAAATGGTAACCGGACGGATTTGCCGGTTACGTGTAATTTCGGATCTAATTATCAGCTGCGGCAATAATATAGCAATAATATCTTTTTTCTATCGCCATTGTTATAAGAAAAGCCCCTAGCTGTCCCACAAAATTTTTCCACCCCCTGTAATTTTGACCAATCGATTTTAAGATCAGGTGTAACGTAAAAATTGAAACAGACCACTTTTTTAAATTTTTATTAGGAAACCATCTTCTGCGGCCTAATTAAAAATGTTCCCCGTGAAATTCTACTAATAGCCGTCATATTTTTCTAACTATAACCTAACTTTAACGCGGTTTTCTTAGATTTAATTTTATATATAATTTTTACTTAAAAAACAAACCAAATTTGTTTTAACTATCACATTACACCTGATCTTAAATTTTGATTGGTCAAAATTTCAGGGGTGGAAAAATTTTGTGAGACAGCTATTTAAAATGCCAAAAGAATAGTAGTTTTTTCTATTTTTATTTTCGATTTTTTTTTTATTATGTCGAAACAATTGATCAAAGTCTATTATTATATTCAAAAAATATAAAGACTTTTGAATAAAAAAAAATTTTTTATTTAAAAAAAATGTTTATAATATTTTAAAATTAAAAACTTCTAGAAACCAAAAGATACTTATAGTTAAAAATATATATTCAAATGTTAAGTAATGATTTTAGTATCATAAATACTTTTTGTAATTCAAATAGATTATTATCAGGTACAATTTTTGGTTTATAAGTTTAATATTGTAAATGTTTTTCATAGTTTTTAAGTAAAACAGATCTTTGTAAATTTGTTGTCTATTAGTTCAATATAAAAAAAAAAAGCTTACTATACAAAATTACTATATTTTCTTAAAAAACTATAACTTTTTCTATACTATATATATTAATAAAATTATTTTGAAATCTAAACCCAAAATTAAATTTTGAAAATGAAATTGTTTTTGATAAAAACAAAATTTTTTGATATTTTTTTTTTTTTTT